TTTGGGTACTAACTGTGCTCACTGCTACTCAGGGAGTCTTACCAGTACCTCTAGACCCTTTCCGTCAATGCAGGTAGAAAGCACGTGGAGGTTTACTAACACACACATACAACTCTATTTCTATGTCTGTCCATCTGTATCTATATTAAAAACCATGAATTCATGCTGATAACTTTGATCCCACAGGGTTCATTCTAGCCTTCCTCCTTTCCTTACCTGTAACTTCTTTTATTATCCACAATATATTTACTGGCTTGTTCAAGCCTAGTATAGACATAAAATAGTTTGAGAATTCCTAACCCATACCGTTGTGAGAAAATAATTTACCAATTAAAATAATACAATGTTTGTATACTGTTCACTTTGTCTTTAACTTTACAGAATACAGCAAAATACTATTTTCCAAAGATGCTTAGGTTACCTATTTCTTTCGCTCTCCCTTATGCGTAACAATTGAATACCTTAGAGAAGTTATTCACTCCCTCCTCATCCTGCTACCCTACTCCCATTTCTCCCTTCTTTCCACCTCTTTCCCACCCACCGCATACTAAGTAATTAATTTCATTAGTTTCTGGTTTTATCCTTCCTGTGTTTCTTTTCAACAAATGAGGAGACACATGAAAATCTTCTTATCTTTGTTTTTACATGCAGGTTACCTTACTATAGCTACTCTTCGTCCTCTGCAGTTTTCACTAAACAATATATCCTGGGAATCACTCCGTATCACTTCCCAAAGATTTTGCTCAACCCTCTTTACAGCAGTATAGTACTCCCTTGTTTGGCTGTACCATGGTTTATGCAACCACTCTCCTACCCAGGGGCATTTAAGTTGTTTCCAACACTTTGTTGACATCCATATAATCACTGAAATCTTTCCCTTTCAAGTTCTTCTACTGCCAAAATTAATATCATTTAGACCCCCACTTTCTCATGCCTATACTACAGTAGCATAAGAAAATCCTAATATACCCATATATCATCCATAAATCTCTTGTGGAGAATCCTGTTTTTTATCCTAAGGTGATGTGAGAACTCATACTCTTCCACTACATTGATATATCTTCCTCTAAACTCAAAAACTTTGAAACTTTTGTCAGGATTCAGCATTTTATGGACTCTTTACAAAGAGGCAGTATGAAAAGTGGTTAACAGCAAAGCATCTGGAGTCAGGCTGTTCTAGTTCAAAACTTGCCTTGTCACTTTTGCCTATGTGACCTTGGCCAGTTATTCAACCTCTCTGCAACCTCATCTGTAGCACAGAAAGAGGAACAGTACCTTAGAGAGTTGTGGAGATGATTAATTATGAAAGAGACTTGCATGTAGGAAATACTCAATAAACGTTGTCAATATGATTATCATCCACATAATTTTTTCCATACACCTTCCTCTCAGCTTCCTTTAGAACATTTTATCTAACATCTCTTTTCTTAAGCTCTACTGTTACTTTGCTCCTGCCTATAAATATACTCTATTTTCCCTGTCCTCTACAAATATAGTACTCCTTTCTTAATCATCATCCTTGATCAGAGTTTGATACTATAGACCCATTCTTCAAACATGCCTTGGTTTTGCAGGCTTGAAATCATACAGCCATCTTCAATTCCCATTCCAACATCTAATCACGTGCCAGTGCCAGTAATTCAATGTCCAGACTGTCCCCTCCCTTTCCTAATACTGGTGTCGCCCCCCTGGTTCATTCAGGCCTTTATCACCTCTCATCTTGACTTCTGCAGGAGCTCCTTAGTTGGTCTGCTTGACTCAGTATCTTCAGGTTAACGTCCCTCCTACACTCTTGCCATATTCACTCATTTATTCAAGAAATATTTACTGAGAACTTACCACATGCCAGGCATTGTTCTAAGCACTGGAGGCGTAGCAGTTAAGTCCTCCCCTATCATTCAAATGAGAGGAAAGACAACAATAAAAATAAATTGGTAGGACTTCCCTGGTGGCGCAGTGGTTAAGAATCCGCCTGCCATGCAGGGGGACATGGGTTCAATCCCTGGCCCGGGAAGATCCCACATGCCACGGAGCAACTAAGCCCATGCGCCACAACTACTGAGCCTGCGCTCTAGAGCCTGCGAGTCACAACTACTGAGCCCGCATGCCACAACTACTGAAGCCCACGTGCCTAGAGGCCGTGCTCCACAACAAGAGAAGCCATCGCAATGAGAAGCCCGCACGCTGTAACAAAGAGTAGCCCCCGCTCGTCGCAACTAGAGAAAGCCCGTGCGCAGTAGCAAAGACCCAACGCAGCTAAATAAATAAATGAGCAATGGGAAATTCACATTAGTCAAAAGGTAGAAGCAATCTAAGTGTTCACTGACAGATGAATGGATTGAAAATAAATGAATAAATTGGTAAAACATGTATGTTAGATTGTGGTGAAGTGCTATCAAATAAAATAAAGCAAGGAAGAAGGAATGGGGGTTGTCAGTTTACACTGGGGGTCAGAGAATGTCCTCACAAATAAGGTGATATTTGTGTAAAGACCTGGAAGAGGAGCGGGAGTAGGTCATGCAAATATTTGGGAGAAAAGCATATTTCTAAGAGAGCCGTGCCCTGAAATGCAACTTTAATTACGTCACTCCTTTGTAAAAACTTTAAATGGTTTCTCCTTGTCAATGGAATGAGTTAAAATCTCCTGGCAGTCAAGGCCAACTGCAGTGTGCTCCAAGCCCCGGTCTACCTTTAATCTTTACTTCTCACTCTTTCTCTACAGACCTATGCCACTTGTTTGGTAAAACAGTACAGACAGAATTGGAACACTTTCAGCTGAATTTCTGAAATTCTACTCGTCCCTCCAAAACCCCTGTCAAAAGCCACCCACACCTTTCCATCCCCCAATGACTGTTAACTGTTTAAATCTTCATTGCACTTGTCCATATGGCTCCTGGCACTTCCTCCCTGCATTAGAGTTATTTGCATTTACATCTTAACCTGCAAGATCACATCACTGTTTCTCTAAGCCCCACAGGATCAGTGGAGCACAGAGGAGCAGAACTGCTGTGATGCTGCTGCTTCAGAGTCGAACAATGTACACCATCTCTCTGAGAGTCAGCATAGTAGAGTCTTTAAAGCCTTGGGTTTCAACTGTGACTCTACCAACTGTGGCAGAACCGGAAAGCAAACTTTATTTTTTATGCTGTAAAATGAGGATAACATCACCTACTTCATAAGGCAATTGTAAGAATGAATTGAGATCATGCTTTTAACGTGCTCTACACACTGCCTAGCACTCAGCACTTACAAATGATGTTACTCTCATTATCATCACCATCATCACCGTCATCATCATCATCATATGGTCCCTGCCCAAGGTAGAGTTTTACCATTCTGAGAAAAGTGCTGAACACTGAAAAGCAGCCTCCACTATCTCAAAGCTTCTGAAACAAATCAGAAACACTCAGGCTAAAAAGCACAGAGGGGAGATCTGAGGCCAGACTAAGAGCCCCAGGGGCTGGGGAGCAGGGGCTGGTCTTAAGTCAATTTAATACATAATTACTAGGTGTTTACTACCTACCAGGGATTGTACTGGGTGTTAAGGGTTATCTGTGTACCTCTCAACATTGAATAACCATGTAACAGAAAGTCTTAAATGTCTCCTCTCACAATCCTATACATTTCTCACACCGAATTTCAGTATACCCATTTCTCATAAAAAAAAAAATCTTTTTTTAAACTTTTAATGAAGGGACTTCCCTGGCGGTCCAGTAGTTAAGACTCCACGCTTCCAATACAGGAGCGGGGGTTAGATCCCTGGTCCGGGAACTAAGATCCCACATGCTGCGGGTCATGGCCAAAAAAAAAAAAAATTTAATGAAAATGTTTAATGAGAAAAGTAAGGAAAAGGGTGTAACGAACACCCTTATTACCCACCACCTAGATATAAAAATTGTTAGCATTTTGCCATATTTGCTTCAACTTTCTTTTAAAGTAAAATCAAATTCAGACATCATGACAATTCTTCCCCAAACACTTCTTCAGGCTGCATCTCTAAAATTAAGAACAGATTTAGAAAAATACCATACTGCCTAACAAAGTTAATTTTAATGCTACCCAATCCATATTCAACCTTTCCAACTTGATCCCAAAATGTCTTTTACAGTTCATTCAAACCCAAGTCCTTTCAAGGCTTATCTATTACATTTGGTTATGTCTCTTAAAATTCTAGGATAGTAACCCCTCCTTTATTGACGACATCAATCTACTAAAGATATCAAAGAAATCAGTCCTGTAGACTACCCTACGTTCTGTATTTTAAGGCTTTCTCGCTGTGCACAGTAAGCGTTTTAATCTTTCACTCCCGCCCAGACACAGCAGATTGCAGCTCCTTTTCCTTTAGTCCTCCCTCCCTCCCCGGCTCACTGCTCACCTTTCAGAACCTGCAGGAGCATATCAATCCCCTCCTGGTAACACACCAGAGCCTGCGGGTACCGGGACTCGGATTCTAGTTCCAACGCCCGCTTTATCACAGTGACTGCAGCTGTGCTTCCAGAGTCCTGGCCCAGGAGAGACCCCGCCATAACGCCAGAAACTCGCATCCGCCCCAACCTCCCCCTAGGCTGTCGGGTCTGCAGCGCTGCCGGGAGCGGTCACGTGACTCCAATGCGCCTGCGCCCTCTTTTTACGGTGCCTGAGTGGGAGGGACTCGGCCGGAACTAAAGTGCCAGGGTGTGTGCACTGTGAAGGCCGGGTTTGAGTGTGGCACTCTGGGTCCTTTCTCTGTTCCGGTTCCCCTGAGTGGTGAGCTTCAGGCTGAAAGACATTTAGGAATTGCTGGTGAGTGGGGAATGAGTGGCCGAAAGTAGTGCATTTTTGCCAGGAGTACATATCTGGGAACCCTATGCAGATGCGGATTGATTTTCTCCATTCGATTGTGTGTTTACGGGTCACAGTAACCTGAATGGAACTACGTCCAGGTTCTGTCCCCTGGGCTCCCGAAAAGCCACTGGCCGGCTGGATCCCGTTTCCCAGTTTGTGGAATCCCGGGACGCGGCATGTGGAGCCCCGCCTCCTGGAGCTCGAGGACAGAGCCGCCTCGGCTGGGCAGTCTGGCGGGAAAGGGAATTCAAGTATGTTTTAACATTTTCTGTGCTTCTGCTTTATGCATAACTTCGGCTTTCCTCTGGGTTCAGCCTAACTTGAATTGTTGATGGAGATACAAAATTACCTAATTTAAAAATTGCCGCATTTTAGAACGTAAATCCTCTGAAGTTGGCACTTAAATATTTACCGTTTTACTAAAAGCCGTGATTTTGCCACCGCGTTTTGATCGCCACCTAGCCAGAGCTGCTTTTTCCGCGGTTTTTTGTTTAGTCTTGTTTATTCCAAGAGGCACTTCGGACGCCTGCCTAGAAGGCATTAGGAGTTCAAGAGACATTTCTTGCCTTCAGAGATGTCGATTTATTGAAAGGGAAATCCTGTTCTGCATTTTAAGTAGTGCCCCCCCCCCATTTACCATTATGTCTCTTTAGAAAAGGAATTAGTTTTTTTTTAAAGAACAGTTACACGCATGGTCATTGTAAAAGAGCAACAACAAACCTATCAGACATTACGGGGGTGTGGGACGTCGGGGAGGGGCGGAAATAGCCCTGGTAGCCAGCCCTCCTCTCCCTGGGTATGCTAACGTTTCTCTGATAGCCTTCCAGAGTTTTTCTCTGTTTACACACACATTCACAGACATCTTTTTTTTTTTTTTAATTAATGGAAATGGGATCATACTTCTCATATGGTGCATTTATTTTCCTGCTTTTGTGTCTTTGCAAGAGAAACTTAATTGTACGGTGAATTGCTTAATTGCTTCAAGGTCCAAGAGTTATGTGCCTAATTATTAAAAATAACCTTTATTGAAACTTACAACTTTTGACTGTCACACATTCTGAAGTATGTAAATGACACTTCATTCAGCAAAAATTAATTGAGTGGCTGCTACATGGCAGTGCTGCTTTAGGTAGATGCTTGGGATACATCTGTGAATAGAGAGAGCAAGCCTAAAACAAAAGAAAATTTTAAAATCTTTGTGCTTGTGGAACCAACATGCTGTTGGGTGGGAACAGACAATAAACCACAAACCTAACAAAAAATTAAATTATGTTAGAAGATGTTAAATGCTATGGAAAGAAAATCAAGGAGAGTTAAGAGAGATTGGGAGTGCTGACAATTGTAGTGTGGGTCAAAATGTTAAATAATGGAATCAGGTTAGAACTCATTGAGAAGATGAGATTTAGGCCAGAAACTGAAGGATGTAAGAGAGTTAACTATGTGGATATCAGGGGCATTCCAGGAGAGGGAACAGCCAGCCAAGGGAGTATACCTGCCTGGCAGTTTCCAGGACCTGCAAAGGGGCCAGTGTGTGTAGCAATTGACCAAGAGTATGGAGGTGGTGTCCTCAAGGCAGGGGTTTAGCACTGGCTGTCACTCTGATTGAAATGGAGAGGCATTGGAGATTTTTAGTCTTGTAATAAATAAACTTTTAATTTTGGAATAACTAGATTTATGGAAACATTATGAAAATAGTATGGAGTTCCTACATACCCCCCACACCAAGTTTCCCCTTTTACTAACATCTTACATTAGTATGGTACAATCGTTATAATTGATGAGCCAATATTGATACATTATCAACTAAAGGTCATACTTCATTCAGATTTTCTTAGTTTTTACCTGATGTCCTTTTACTGTTGCAGAATCCCATCCAAGATACCACGTTATGTTTAGTTGTCAAATGCTCCTCTTGACTATGACAGTTTGACTATGACTTTCCTTGGTTTTGATGACCTTGACAGTTTCGAGGCAGTCAGGTATTTGAGGAGGTACTGGTCAAGTATTTTGTACAATGTCCTTCAATTGGAGTTTGTCTGATATTTTTCTGTTAGAGAAGTGTTAGGGGTTTTTGGAAGGAAGACATATAGCTGAAGTGCCATTCTCATTCCATCATATCTAGGATACATGCTATCAACTTGACTTTTATCACAGTTAATGTTAATCTTGATCACCTCGATGACATAGTGTTTGTTAGGTTCCTCTAATGTAAGGGTATTTCCCCCCCTTTCTATACTATATTCTGGTAGCAAGTGTTTAAGCATAGCCCATGCCTCAGAGTTGATAGCTTTACTCCACCTCTTTATCTACATAAATTATTTGAAATTCTGTAAGGGAGATTTGTTTCTTCTCCCTCATTAATTAGTTTATTCATCTATTTATATCACTGTGGACTCATGGTTAGTTTATGTTTTGGATTATAAGCCAATATTTTGTTACTTATTTTGTTGCTCATATTATTTCAGCTGTAGCCACTGGGAGCTCTTTCATTTGGCTTCTGGTCCCTTTGACATACCCCCATCATTTTGATTTTTTGAGTAGTTCCTTTCTAGCACTAGGTGCTCCAGACTCATCATTATATATTCCCTGCTACAGCCATATAATCAGCCATTTCTCCAAGGAGTCCTGGTTTTTTTTTTTTAGAGAATGCCATTAGAAACTAAGATCTGGGCACTGGGCATGCTCATTGCTATTGGGATGCCATTGCCTTTAGGTCCTCTCAGCTAACAGAGCTAACCCATGTGTGTATATGTATCTATAATTATTTCTATGTCCATCATATCTATATTAAGCTAAACATGAGTTCCAACACTTTGTCATTGGATCACATGGATCATTGTAGCCTTCCTCTCTGGCCTGTGTGTAACCTCCTACTCTGATAATGAGAAACCTGGCTCATTGGAAGGTTTTGAGCGGAGGAGTTGACATTATCTGATTTCGGACTTAATGAGATGATTGCTGCTGTGGAGAAAAGACCTTGGGGAAGTTAGAATAGAAGCAGGAAGGCCAGTTAGGAGGCTCTTGTTGAAATCTAAGTGATAAGAGAAAGATTTAACAAAGAGTGAAGCTAAATAAGTTGGGTTAGTACCTAACGCTTAACTTGGGAGGAATGAGTATGGTAGAGAAAATAATTTAGCATTGTCTATTTGATTGGAGGGCTGGAGGATTAAGCATCTCTTCTAAAGAAGCCTTGATACAAAGGATCTAAACAACCAGCCAAGCAAACTGGATGATTTGAACTAGAAATTGCTCTGCTGTATTGTAATTTTGAGGTCTGAAGCCCGAATGGCAGTTATGAAATTCTGATGTACTTCTGAATTCTGAGTTGAGTGGACCATGGATCTAACCCATTAACTGATTCAGACATTCATCTATAAACACTGGGTGCCTACTGTCCATCAGATGGTGTGACAGATGCTGAGAGTAGAAGATGAACAAGACAAAATTCTTGTTTTCAGGGCGCTAAGGATATAGTAGTTAACTCTTCTAAAACTGATACATAATTAGTTTTGAGAGACTGGTTTGGTTGCTGAGACTTTTTCTGAAGTCAGGCCCTTCTAATGGGACATCTCGCGTTGATTCCAGTAGCTTCATTGCTTTGTCCACACCACAGGAAAGACCTGCAGAGCTTGAGTGGGCCAGAATCTGGTGGGCACTGAAATACAGCACTTGCCCTATTTTGGCATGTTAGAGTATTCTTATTATAGCTTTGTAATAATTTAATGATATTATAATAGTAAAAACTACCATTTATTGAGGGCTTCTTATGTGCCAAGTACTGTTTTAGGTGTTTTCAGAGTAATTCATTTGCAAGATAGGTATTATTTTTTTTTCTGTTCTTTGGGGGGAAAAATGGAAACATACAAATTAAGTAACCTGTCCAAAATATACATGTAGTTCATGAACTTAATCTTTCTGCATTCAGTTTAAGTTTAAGTCGGTAGGCTATAATTGTTTTGTGTCTAAATAAACATGACTTTTAGTTTATAAATGTAATGCATGTTCGTTAAGAATAGTCTAAAAATATAAATAAGCAAAAAAGAACATTCTGCTTTATTTAACAGAAGGGTGTTATGATTTAGTGAAAATATGCTGGACTAGGTATTAGGATGTTTGGGTTCCAGACCATATACTCTCTTGAAAGCTGGATGCCCTTCGGTAAATGATTGAACTCTCTGGGATTCATTTTCCTCATAAATAAAGTAAGAGCGTTGTCAGTTCTAATTAGGAGTTTGGATTTCTTCAGTCCCTTCCAGCTCTTTAATTTTTTTTTTTTGATTCTATAGCAAAGCATTCTTTATATCTGCCCTCGCTGTTGAAGATTTTTTAAATGATAGTAACCTCCATCGCCTATTTTTGTTGAATCAGCCTAGGGTGTAATTTAACTCTTTGGTGAAAATGGCATATGATTAATGTATAATTACTTCCTATGGTTTTCTTGAACTCTCAATAAAACATCTATTGTAACTTAATTCTTGTCCTTAGTGTATTAAAACAATCAAGATTTTGCTGTTAAACTTCATCCAGTTTTTCAGTTTGAGCTATCCATTTCTAAGACATACCTGACCCACAGATCTGTTTTCTACTTCTCACAGCCCCTAAGGAGAACAGTCACCACACTCATGGCAGGGATTTTGCGCTCAATAGTTCAGAGGCCCCCAGGCAGACTACAAGTAAGTATTTCTTTGTAGTTCTTTGTAGTTCATGTACATGTACATGTACATGTAAGTATTTCTTTTCAAGAATTATCTTTTTTTTTTCCTATTCCTTTTCTCTCTTTTCTAATTAACAAAACATACAGGCAAGTTAAAATTTTAAGTTTCTTTATATATATATATACTTTTTAAATGTTGACGGTTAATTTTATTTGTGGTTTATCTGCTGTTTTATCCCTAAAGATCTGAAATCACAAAAGACCTTTTCCTGGAGAAAATGCTGGTAAAAAATGGCTAGTGTTGATTCCCCATGGCCCACCTTAATCTTTTGAAAGTTTTAGATTTTTTTTTTCCTTCAGTTATGAAGAGTCCCTTTTCAGTAATAGAAAATTAGAAAAATGTAGAAAAGCAGAAAGAAGAGAAACAATTTCCCAGAGACCATTAATGTTTGTACTTTCATGTATTTCCTTCCAGTCTTTCTTTTAGAAATTTCAGTGGTGCAGCCTAATCTATTCATGAGGTCCAGAGTCTAGATAGGATCTGCTGCTGCCTTTAGATAATAATAATGCCAGGTGCTTTACACACTTACCTTAACCTCAGATTAATCCTGGGTGGTAAGTATTATTTCCTTTTTATAGCCGAGGAAACCGACCCTCTGAGAGGATAAGTATCTCATATGTCACAGCTGGTAAGTACAGAGTAGGATTAGAGGCCCAATGTTCCTGGTATGTCAAAGCCCATGTCCTTCACCAGTCTCCCCCTAACCCCCAATTCCCTCCTGCTTATTCTCCCATTGTTTATACCATCTCTGCAGTACAGGGAGGGCATGAAGGGAATCATTATTTTCCACCCAGAGGAGTTTCCTGGTATGAAGGATTAGCAGTGAATCCTTTTTCTTCAGCAGCCTGAGAGAAACACGACTGGAAGATTGTAGAAAGGGAACAAGAGACAGGAAACAGGAGTTGAAGGCATTCTTGGGACTAGAAAGAAAACTGGAAACTCATTTTGGCTTTCTTTTACACTGTATTGCTGAAGCTGAATTATCATATGTTGTCTAGAGCACACTGACAAACTACAACCTACAAGCCAAATTCAGCCCACCACCTATTTTTGTAAAAGTTTTATTGAAACATAGCCACACCGATTTGTTTACATATTGTCAACAACTGCTTTTGCCCTGCTGTGGCAGAGCTGAGACTTGGCTGAGGAAACTGTGTAGTCCCAGAGCTGGAAATATTTACTGTCTGGTTCTTTACAGAAAAATATTGCCAACTGCTGGTCTAGAAGTTTATATTTACTGTGTTTTTTCTTTATGTTAGTGGTAAGATGAGATGTATTCATTCAGCTAGGGGGCTGAGATAAATGTTTAATAATTACAGATTAGGTGAGAACAGATTTTGTCACCTAAAAATTGGTAGGTTATGATTTCTGCACTAGATAGAGTTCTAAAAATCAAATGTTTTATGGCATATTTTAGATGGTGACAGAAGGTGTGGAGACCCTTGTTTGTACAGATTGGATTCGTCACAAATTTACGAAGTCAAGAATTCCAGATAAAGTAAGTTTTTATGTTACGGTTTTTGAAAAACATGTTACTGTTACCGGGTCCGAGCTCATTGTGCTCACCACAGGACAGGCCAATAAATTGGGAGATGAGGTGTTGAGGCAAGGAATAGTGACTCTTATTTGGAAAGCCGGCAGACTGAGAAGATGGCGTACTAGTGTACCCAAAACCCATCTTATTGGGGTCTGGATGCCAGTTTCTTTTATAGAACAGACAGGGGGAGGAGGTGAGGAAGTAAAGTCAAAAGGCCATTTGTCTTTTGCAAAATCTCCTCCCTCGGCCTGCATGGGGAAGGGATGTGTTAATTTCTTCTTTTCTGTAGCCGTTCACAGGTGGGCAGGGTCAGAATGTCTGTCTGTGAGCTGAACAAAGCCCTTTTAGTTTAACAGGCAGTGGGGCAGGGTTCCTTGTGGCAGGCCATTATCTATGCTTACAGCTATAACAAAAGCAACGAAAAGCAAAGGTTAAAGTAAAAGAAACAGAACCAACATGGAGTCAGAATTCTCTCTTCCCTGTTACATTATGTTTTGAAGGTACCGATTTTTGTAATATTGAAAACTTTCATGTTAATTTATTTGCGGGTATAGGTAGAAGTGTAGAGTTTAAAACATAGGATTTATGTGGGAGGGATAAATTGGAAGATTGAGGTTGACATATACACACTACTATATATAAAATAGATAACTAATAAGAACATACTGCATAACACAGGGAACTCTACTTAATACTCTATAATGGCCTCTATGGGAAAAGAATCTAAAAAAAGAGGTGGCTATATGTATATGTATAGCTGATTCACTTTGCTGTGCACGTGATATTGACACAACATTGTAAATCAACTGTACTCCAATAAAAAGTTTAAAAATAAAAAAAATTTTTTTAAATTAAACATAGTAGGATTTATGTCAATGATTATTTAAGATAAATATGTGCCACTGACCTTTTAAGTACTGGGTTTTGGTCTCAGAATCTGTTTATTCCTGCTTATGGCTTTTTCCCTTGACATTTTTATCACCATTGTCCTGAGAAAACAGTGTTTCTTCCTCCTGCTCAGACTGTCTGTGTGGCTCTTGGTTTTCACTTTCTCTATCAGCCATTTGCTAATTTGGATCTTCTTCTCTGCTAGATCTGTGTCTACCTATCATTCTTTGAGAAAACACTGACTAAGCCCTCAGTAAACTTCTGTTTTATTTTGATTTCTCCAATTTTTTTGTACTGTGGTAAAATACATGCAAGATAAAATTTAAACATTTTTAAGTGTACATTTCAGTGGTATTAAGTACATTCATATTGTCATGTGACCATCACAGCCACCATCTCCAGAATGCTTCATCTTGCAAAACTGGACCTCTGTGCTCATTAAACAGTAACTCCTCATACCTTCTCTCCCTAGTCCCTGGTAACCACCATTCTCCACTGATTTTTTTAAAAGCTAAAATAGTTTTACCATTGACTATTTAGATACCTTTAATGTGCTTGATGTTCTTTTGTCAGAAATCTCTTTTTTATCAAGTCATGGTCCACAACTGCATTGTCTTATATGTTTTCATGTTTCTTAGACTGTAAACTTCTGGAAGAAATAGATACAGATGTTAGCATTCGTTTAAAATGTGGGGGGAGTGATTTTGATCACTGGTTGTAGTGAGCATGAAAACTTTTAAACTTTATAGAAATGACTCTGAGATTTGCATCTCCAGCCCTTTGCCTATCTTCTGAACTTACTCCTATATTCTCCTGTAGTTTCTAGACCTTGCTATTTAGATAACCTGTAGGTATTTCAAGTTATCCAAAATTAGACTCATTGTCTTACAAATGAGGTTGTCCTCCAGACAACCAAACTAAAAGAGGGTGTTTGTCCTGTATTAGTGATGTCAGTTAATGCTACCATCCTCTACCTGATTTCCCAGACTAGAAAGCTCTAACTCAATCTCAACCCTGTCTTCTCCCTCACCCACCACAAATCCATCTATTTTATTACCTAAAGTCCCCAAATCAGCCTTTTTCTGTTACAGCTGCTGTAATTCAGACTCTTAAACCATGGCTCTAATGTGCTTCCTGAGTTTCCTTGTATCAGTCTCCACCTCCAGTTCATTTGAAAGAGTTTTCTTTCTGAATCTATTTTTGAAATGTCATTTTGCTTCAAACCTCCAATAACCTTATATCCATTCTGGGAATTTCTAAAGGCTCAGCATAGTTAATCTTAGTTTAACTTCTCGCCCTGCATTGCTTTTCCTATTTTTTTTTTACCTTAGTCACACAAAACCACTTACTTTTCCTGAATATTTCATGCTCCTCACACCATTTCTTTAATTTTTCTCTCCTTTTCTTTGGTGCACCTACCCCATCAAAATCTCTAGAAAAATACCCTTCATCCTACCCACCGGGAGGCAAATACTGCTAACACCCTCCACATACTTTTCTGTTTAATATTTTTGAAGATGTGCATCATCTTGCCTATAATGCTTCTCCAGCTGCTTTCATCATTTTGCAGTGTAATGTGAACCCTCTGTGGATAAGTTAATGATTGGATAATATCCTTTTTGATTAAAGTACCATCTTTTTTTTTGGCCTTCCTCAGTCTGATTCCCAGAGGTATGACTCTTGACCTAAAGTTTTTGACACCTTTATACATATAAGGATAAATATATATATATATGTATATCTATCTATCTATATGTAATACACACACATATATATGTAATTGTTAGAATCATATTTAGAATTTAGGGGAGAGACCTTCAAGATGGCAGAGGAGTAACACGTGCAGATCACCTTCCTCCCCACAAATACATCAGAAATACATCTACATGTGGAACAACTCCTACAGAACACTTACTGAACGCTGGCAGAAGACCTCAGACTTCCCAAAAGGCAAGAAACTCCCCACGTAACTGGCTGTGTGGCTGACACGGGCTTCATGCTCCGGCCAGCTGTCAGGCCTGTACCTCTGAGTTGGGAGAGCCGAGTTCAGGACATTGGTCCACCAGAGACCTCCCAGCTCCATGTAATATCAAACTGGCTGTGTGGCTGACACGGTCTTCATGCTCCGGCCAGCTGTCAGGCCTGTACCTCTGAGTTGGGAGAGCCGAGTTCAGGACATTGGTCCACCAGAGACCTCCCAGCTCCATGTAATATCAAACGGCGAGAGCTCTCCCAGAGATCTCCGTCTCAAACCTAACACCCAGCTCCACTCAACGACCAGCAAGCTGCAGTGCTGGACACCCTATGCCAAACAACTAGCAAGACAGGAACACAACTGCACCCATTAGCAGAGAGGCTGCCTAAAATCATAATAAGGTCACAGACACCCCAAAACACACTACCAGACATGGTCCTGCCCTCCAGAAAGACAAGATCCAGCCTCATACACCAGAACACAGGCAACAGTCCCCTCCACCAGGAAGCCTACACAACCCACTGAACCAACCTTAGCCACTGGGGGCAGACACCAAAAACAACGGGAACTACTAACCTGCAGCCTGCAAAAAGGAGACCCCAAACACAGTAAGTTAAGCAAAATTAGAAGACAGAGAAACACACAGCAGTTGAAGGAGCAAGAGAAAAACCCACCAGACCTAACAAATGAAGAGGAAATAGGCAGTCTGCCTGAAAAAGAATTCAGAGTAATGGTAGTAAAGATGATCCAAAATCTTGGAAGTAGAATAGAGAAAATACAAGAAACATTTAACAAGGACCTGGAAGAACTAAAGAGCAAACAAACAAGATGAACAGCACAATAAATGAAATTAAAAATTCAAAATTAATTTGAAATTTGAAATTTAAAAATTAAAAATTCTCTAGAATTAAAATTTTAATTTTAATTTTTAAAATTAAACATTAAAAATTCTCTAGAAGGAATAATAATATTCTGCCACAATAACTGAGGCAGAAGAACAGATAAGTGACCTCGAAGATAAAATAGTGGAAATAACTACTGCAGAGCAGAATAAAGAGAAAAGAATGAAAAGAATTGAGGACAGTCTCAGAGACCTCTGGGACAACATTAAACTCACCAACATTCAAATTATAGGGGTCCCAGAAGAACAAGAGAAAAAGAAAGGGACTGAGAAAATATTTGAAGAGATTATAGTTGAAAACTTCCCTAATATGGGAAAGGAAATAGTCAGTCAAGTCCAGGAAGCGCAGAGAGTCCCATACAGGATAAATCCATGGAGAAACACACCAAGACACAAATTAATCAAAATATCAAAAATTAAATACAAAAGAAAAAAAAGCAGCAAGGGAAAAACCACAAATAACATACAAGGGAATCCCATAAGGTTAACAGCTGATCTTTCAGCAGAAACTCTGCAAGCCAGAAGGGACTGGCAGGACATATTGAAAGTGATGAAAGGGAAAAACCTACAACCAAAATTATTCTATCCAGCAAGGATCTCATTGAGATTCAACAGAAAAATTAAAGCCTTTACAGACAAGCAAAAGCTGAGAGAATTCAGCACCACCAAATCAGCTTTACAACAAATGCTAAAGGAACTTCTCTAGGCAGGAAACACAAGAAAAGAAAAAGACCTACAATAACAAGCCCAAAACAATTAAGAAAATAGGAATAGGAACATACATATCGATAACTATCTTAAATGTAAATGGATTAAATGCTCCCACCAAAAGACACAGACTGACTGAATGGTTACAGAAACAAGACCTGTATATATGCTGTCTAAAAGAGACCCACTTCAGACCTAGGTACACATACAGATTGAAAGTGAGGGGATGGAAAAAGATATTCCATGCAAATGGAAATTAAAAGAAAGCTGGAGGAGCAATTCTCATATCAGACAAAATAGACTTTAAAATAAAGACTATTATAAGAGACAAAGAAGAACACTACATAATAATCAACGGATCAATCCAAGAAGAAGATACAACAAGTGTAAATATTTATGCACCCAACATAGGAGCACCTCAATACATACAGCAAATAGTAACAGCCATAAAAGGGGAAATCGACAGTAACACAATCATAGTAGGGGACTTTAACACCCCACTTTCACCAATGGACAGATCATCCAAAATGAAAACAAATAAGAAAACACAAGCTTTAAATGATACATTAAACAAGATGGACTTAGTTGATATTTATAGGACATTCCATCCAAATACAACAGAATACACTTTCTTCTCAAGTGCTCATGGCACATTCTCCAGGATAGATCATATACTGGGTCACAAATCAAGCCTTGGTAAATTTAAGAAAATTGAAATTGTATCAGTGTCTTTTCTGACCACAAAGCTATGAGACTAGATATCAATTACAAGAAGAAATCTAAAAAATACGAACACTTGGAGGCTAAACATTACACTACTTAATAACCAAGAGATCACTGGAGAAATTAAAGAGGAAATCAAAAAATACCTAGAAACGAATGATAATGAAAACACGACCCAAAACCTATGGGATGCAGCAAAAAAGGTTCTAAGAGGGAAGTTTATAGCAATACCCTACCTCAAGAAACAAGAAACATCTCAAATAAACAACCTAACCTTATACCTAAAGCAATTAGAGAAAGAAGAACAAAAAAACCCCCAAAGTTAGCAGAAGAAAAGAAATCATAAATATCAGAGCAGAAATAAATGAAAAAGAAATGAAGGAAACAGTAGCAAATGTCAGTAAAACTAAAAGCTGGTTCTTTGAGAAGATAAACAAAATTGATAAACCATTAGCCAGACTCATCAAGAAAAAAAGGTAAAAGACTCAAATCAACAGAATTAGAAATGAAAAAGAAGTAGCAGCTGACACTGCAGAAATACAGAGGATCATGAGAGATTGCTACAAGCAACTATATGCCAATAAAATGGACAACCTGGAAGAAATGGACAAATTCTTAGAAAGGTATAACCTTCCAAGACTGAACCAGGAAGAAATAGAAAATATGAACAGACCAGTCACAAGCACTGAAATTGAAACTGTGATTAAAAATCTTCCAACAAACAAAAGTCCAGGACCAGATGGCTTCACAGGTGAATTCTATCAAACATTTAGAGAAGAGCTAACACCTATCCTTCTCAAACTCTTCCAGAAATTGTGGAGGAAAGAACACTCCCAATCTCATTCTATGAGGCCACCATCACCCTGATACCAAAACCAGACAAAGATGTCACAAAAAAAGAAAACTACTGGCCAATATCACTGATGAACATAGATGCAAAAATCCTCAACAGAATACTAGCAAACAGAATCCAACAGTACATTAAAAGGATCAGACACCATGATCAAGTGAGGTTTATCCCAGGGATGCAAGGATTCTTCAATATATGCAAATCAACCAGTGTGATACACCATATTAACTAATTGAAGGATAAAGACCATATGCTCATCTCAATCGATGCAGAAAAAGCTTTTGACAAAATTCAACACCCGTTTATGATAAAAATCCTCCAGTAAGTAGGCATAGAGGGAACTTACCTCAACATAATAAAGGCCATATATGACAAGCCCACAGCCAACATCGTTCTCAGTGGTGAAAAACTGAAACCATTTCCCCTGAGATCAGGAACAAGACAAGGTTGTCCACTCTCACCAGTGTTATTCAACACAGTTTTGGAAGGTTTAGCCACAGCAATCAGAGAAGAAAAAGAAATAAAAGGAATCCAAATGTAAAAGAAGTAAAGCTGTCACTGTTTGCAGATGACATGATACTATACATAGAGAATCCTAAACATGCCAACAGAAAACTACTAGAGCTAATCAATGAATTTGGTGGAGTAGCAGGATACAAAATTAATGCACAGAAATTTCTGGCATTTACACGAATGATGAAAAATCAGAAAGAGAAATTAAGGAAACACTCCCATTTACCATGGCAACACAAAGAATAAAATACCATGGAATAAACCTACCTAAGGAGACAAAAGACCTGTACGCAGAAAACTATAAGACACTTGAAAGAATTTAAAGATGATACAAACAGATGGAGAGATATACCATGTTCTTGGAATGGAAGAATCAATATTGTGAATACAACTGTACTACTCAAAGCAATCTACAGATTCAATGCAATCACTATCAAGCTACCAATGGCATTTTTCACAGAAGTAGAACCAAAAATTTCACAAGTTGTATGGAAACACAAAAGACCCCGAGTATCCAAAGCAATCGTGAGAAAGAAAAATGGAGCTGGAGGAATCAGGCTCCTGGGCCTCAGACTATACTACAAAGCTACAGTAATCAAGACAATATGGTACTGGCACAAAAACAGAAATATAGATGAACGGCACAGCATAGAAAGCCCAGAGATAAACACACACACATATGGTCACCTTATTTTTGATAAAGGAGGCGAGACTATACAATGGAGAAAAGACAGCCTCTTCAATAAGTGGTGCTGGGAAAACTGGACAGCTACATGTAAAAGAATGAAACTAGAATACTCCCTAATACCATACACAAAAATAAGCTCAAAATGGATTAAACGCCTAAGTGTAAGGCCAGACACTATAAAACTCCTACAGGAAAACATAGGCAGAACACTCTGACATAAATCACAGCAAGATCCTTTTTGACCCAGCTCCTAGAGAAATGGACATAAAAACAAAACTAAACAAATAGGACCTAATGAAACTTAAAAGCTTTTGCACAGCAAAGGAGAATATAAACAAGATGAAAAGGCAATCCTCAGAATGGGAGAAAATACTTGCAAATGAAGCAGCTGATAAAGGATTAATCTCCAAAATATACAAGCAGCTCATGCAGCGCAATATAAAAAAAAACAAACAATCCAATCCAAAAATGGGCAGAAGACTTAAGTAGACCAAAGAAGACATACAGATTGCCAACACACACATGAAAGAATGCTCAGCATCGCTAATCATTAGAGAAATGCAAATCAAAACTACAGTGAGGTGTCACCTCACACCAGTCAGAATGGCCATCATCAAAAAAATCTACAAACAATAAATGCTGGAGAGGGTGTGGAGGAAAGGGAACCATCTTGCGCTGTTGGTGGGAATGTAAATTGATACAGTCACTGTGGAGAACAGTATAGAGGTTCCTTAAAAAACTAAAAATAGAACTACCATATGACCCAGCAATCCCACTACTGGGCATATAACCTGAGAAAACCATAATTCAAAAACAGTCATGTACCAAAGTGTTCATTGCGGCTCTATTTAAAATAGCCAGGACATTGACGCAACCTAAGTGTCCATCAATAGGTGAATGGATAAAGAAGATGTGACACATATATACAATGGAATATTACTCAGCAATAAAAAGAAACGAAATTGAGTTATTTGTAGAGAGGTGGGTGGACCTAGAGACTGTCACGCAGAGTGAAGTAAGTCAGAAAGAGAAAAACAAATACCATATGCTAACACATATATATGGAATCTAAAAAGAAAAAAGGTTTTGAAGAACCTAGGGGCAGGACAGGAATAACTGTGCAGACGTAGAGAATGGACTTGAGGACGTGGGGAGGGGGAAGGGTAAGCTGAGATGAAGTGAGTGGCATGGACATATATACACTACCAAATGTAAAATAGATAGCTAGTGGGAAGCAGCTGCATAGCACAGGGAGATCAGCTTGGTGCTTTGTGACCACCTAGATGGGTGGGATAGGTAGGGTGGGAGGGAGACGCAAGAGGGAAGAGATACGGGGATATATGTATATGTATAGCTGATTCACTTTCTTATAAAGCAGAATCTAACACACCATTGTAAAGTAATTATACTCCAATAAAGATGTTAAAAACAATAAAAAATAGAATTTAGGATCATATTCTTAGAATTAGTAGTTACGGAATATATCATATATACACACTCCTCATGGTGTAGATGAAACAAATACAAGATCCTGTTACACAGTGGTGTGGAAATTTGGTTTTTTTGTTCAATATATTATGACCATCCTTCAATGTTAGTACTTACAAAGATAGTAAACTTTATTTGTTTAATGGTAGCATTATAGCCAGTAGGATTCATCATAATTTATTTGCATCATATCTTATTTAGTTATATTATTTTTAGTTTTATTTAGAATGTATGCCTCATAATTTATTTAGCTATTCTCTTGAGGAATATAGATGTGGCCTTTAAAATTTTCAGTATTGGGCTTCCCTGGTGGCGCAGTGGTTGAGAGTCTGCCTGCCAATGCAGGGGACACAGGTTCATGCCCCGGTCCGGGAAGATCCCACGTGCCGTGGAGCGGCTGGGCTCGTGAGCCATGGCCGCTGAGCCTGCGCGTCCGGAGCCTGTGCTCTGCAATGGGAGAGGCCACAGCAGTGAGAGGCCCACGTACCGCAAAGAAAAAAAAAAAATTTCAGTATTACAAATAGTGTTATACATAACATCCTTATTCGGGGTTGCAGTGAATATGTACTTTTTATAATACTCATGTGTTATTGTCATTGTAAGTTTTTGTTTGTCCCTCTACTTGAATGGGGGAGGGGATGCAGCCCAAGGCCCAGCTCATATAATGCAATATATTCTCTTGACATTTGAACTCTTTAGTGTCATCTGGTTGCTCCTGCTTTTCTCTTAATAAAAGCAAAATATAACAAACCCTTGCCTGTGTGGTATTTTTCTTAGAGTATAAAATTCTTAGACTCCATCTATCTTAGTAATCAGACTGGTAGAAATGTTCAATTTGAGGGTGAGGATTATAGAACTATTAGGGATGAAATCATTATGTAGTTGTTTGAACTTTTTTTAAGGAAAAAAAAATAAAGGAGGTTACATAGAAGCTGTGTACATTGAAAATTTACCGTTCATAATTCTTCCTTTCCAGGTTTTTCAGCCTTCACCTGAAGATCATGAAAAGTATGGTGGGGACCCACAGCAACCACATAAACTGCACATTGTTACCAGGATAAAGAGTACAAAAAGACGTCCATATTGGGAGAAAGATATAATAAAGATGCTTGGGTTACAAAAAGTATGTAACTATTTTAGTCATCTTTAGTGTTGTTTAAATTTGCTTTAAATTTTCCACTTTTAAAACTTTTGTTTAAATGTATTATTTCATGTAATATATTTGGAAGTTTGAGTTAGACAAAATGAGCCTACACCTTAACCTTTTCCTGTAAAATGGGACCATCTGTGCTTTTGAAATTGATCCATAACATTGTTTCCTTTGTTTGTAGGCACATACTCCTCAAGTTCACAAGAATATCCCTTCCGTGAATGCAAAACTGAAAGTGGTTAAACATTTGATAAGGTTTGTTGTTTGTTATTCCAGCAGTTTCTTAAAACGTGTTACCTAGTATAACTCTAAAAGCATTCCCTTATGTCCCAGAATCAAGCCCCTGAAGCTGCCACAGGGTCTCCCAAAAGAGGAGGACATGTCCAGCACGTGTCTCAAGAGCACTGGAGAGCTGGTGGTGCGGTGGCTTCAGCACCCCACGGACCAGGAAGTGAATAAGTCCTGATGGCCTCGCGGCTTCAGAGTAAAAAGTGCAAGTCATTTCTATTTAAAGATGGTGAGAAAGTGTTCTCATTAAAATATGTTTTAAATTCTAGTCATTTTCACTGGCTAAACATGGTGTGATTCTTCCTTAGTGTAGGCTTGGAGGTTTTAGTGCTATTAATTGGTTTAATTCTGTCCCCTTTCCCTCCAGTAGTTTCACTGGAAAATGGGTAAGGATGGCAATGTTTGAACATGTGGGTTCAGATGTCACCTTAGCAATCGTCGTTAACTTTTTTAAAAAATTGTTTTCTCGTTTAATTGAATTCAACACATTCTATGAGTGGCCCTTTGAGTTAAGAGTGTGTTATGTGTTGGAGAAATCCAGAGCTGACCAGAATGTGGTCCCTGCCCTAAAGGAGCTTAGTCTGTTCCCCTGGAGAACAGAGATTCAGCCAGAAGCATTAGACACTGGGTGCAGCTGGACCAGCTGCTCTGTGCTGTGGTGTCTATAAATACGTATGTGGACTTGGCTTCATTTTACCCTTAAATTTAATACCCAAAATAGTATTCTGTTTTCTAATTATAAATCTCATTTGGCCTAAACTTTATTGATGTTCCTTGAATTCCTAGAAACCTCTGCCAACAGTTGAGGTTGCTATTTAAAAGAAAAAAAGAAGGGAAAAATCATTTAGGGAAAGTTGTTTTATTTCCTTTTATTCTATTTCAGATACCTGGAGGGGTGGGGAGAAGTAAGAATTTTAAGAGAGGTTCAGTACTGGGAAATTCTGTGGCAGCTAACTAAAGTTGATGCTGAGGACTCAGAATTCTAGTTGCCCTTTATTTTCCTTGTCTCGTAAAATTTGGCTCAGGCAGCAGTGACATTGGCATACTCACTGCTTATGGTCCCAGCATCTGTCCTGTCATAGAGTTTTGGCATCACATAGAAGTGCTGTGTGAAGTGAAGCCAGATATAATTGATTAATAAGCTTCAAGGCAGTCACACTTTCAATTCCACGATTATTGAATATCCAGTATATGTACGGCCTGGAGAGGATATAAAGCAAGGACACTAATTTCGAAGGGCTGTGGGTCTAACTGGAGAGAGACCTGTATATGCCTCAACAGAAGCTGTCCTTGCTGGAGTTGGATTGACGCCAGCTGTATAAATATTGATGAAAGCAGCCCCTGCTAATGTTTTGCTGCCTCTTTTACTAGGCTAATATTAATGTTTAAAACAGGGAAAAGACCATTGGTTAATTTTTACCCAAAGAGTCTAATAAGGTTTAGGTAAGTAATTTTAACCTCTGCTGCTCATGACTAGAGGAAAATATCTGAATGATAGGTTGGATATTTAGAAATGAAATTGCCCAGAAGAGGAACAACCTGTAGGCAGATGAGCATAGGCTAGAGCATTTGTTTCCTGTTGTCACGTAACGTATTACCACAGTCTCAGCCGCTGAAAACCACACATGCTCATCACCCTGCTGTTTCTCTAGGTCAGGACTCTGGGCACAGCTTAGCCCGCTAATCTGCTTAGGGTCTCACAAGGCTTCAAAAAAGGCATCAGCCAAAGCTGGGTTCTCCTCAGATCCTTGACAGGGCAGGTATCTGCTTCCAAGCTCTCCCAGGTTGTTGGCAGAAGTCATTTCCTTGTGGTTATAAAATTCATGGCAAGTTGCTTCTTCAAAACCAACACTGGAGTGAGAGACTTTAGTAAGATGGGTGCTACCCTCTTAGGTAATCATATAAATGCAGTGGCCTAGATTCTGTCTCCTTTGTTGCATTCCATTGGTTGGAAGCAAGTCACAGGTCCAGCTCACACTCAAGGAAGAGGGGAATTCCACAAAGATGTGACCACCAGGGGCCAGGATCAGGGAGGCCTCTGTAAAGTCGACCTGCCAAACCCAGTCAGTCCATCCTTAAGTTGCACCCAGGGGATTCCCCAGAATGGTACTCCTTTGCCTCCCATCATTTCAAACCTTACAAGGACTTCTTTTGTCCTGTCTTTGTGTCTCAGAGAATTGCTTTATTTCAGAAGGTTTTTCTGGCCACTCCTTGGTGACCATTGGCCTTTGGTCAGGCTCAGGGGTGACAAAAAGTTACCCAAGCACTATTTTTAAGGGCCATTCCAGTTCTCAAGTTCTTCTCAATCTAAATGGTGCCTCTTTCAGGCCAAACACGTATTTTATTCATCTTTTCTTGTTAACAGTACTAACTAGTATGCTTATGATTCTGTCACAGTTTCACCAAGGACAATTTGGAATTGCACTGGCCATTTTAGGGAGCTTTTGACACGAGCAAGATTGTATGTTTGGGAGGTACTTTAGAACAAAAAAGAACAAAAAGTGAAGAAACCTCCATGAAGACATTATTTGTCTTGTTTTTCTTTAAAAAAAAAAAAGACCATTTTATTTAATATAGAGGATATTTAATATCCTCTCCTTCCTTTCTATACTTTGAGGAGTATTAAGTACTGGCTTTTTGATCACACAGCTTGATAAAAATATCAAGGGTCCAAGTTACTGTCTAAACCATCTGTCGCTCTCTTTTTATGTATATGTGTCAAAATCTGTTTTATACATTTAAACTTTTCTCAGCTTTAAGACCTTGGTAAACAATTAATTAATTAAAACTGGAAGTCTGGACAGTTTCTAAATAAGAAACTGATACAAAACATTAGTCACTAAATAAAATTTTTACCCTTATTTCTCAGAATGGCAATCCATTAACAAATGATGAAAATGCCTTTGAATAATATTATTTATGTTTCTTTTTCCCTCAAAATTATTAAAATGATATGAAATGAGTGCTCATGGAGAAAAAAATAGCCAAACAATTCATTTTCTGTTCTCTAATTTTCTTTATTTTCTGGAGAAAAGAAAAATAGTTGATCACTTCAAGAGAATATAAACAGTTAATTATACCAGGCACAGTTAATTACAGAGAAATACAAATATGTATTTAACATAATGGATATGATTTTCTGCTTATTAACATGGTAAATTTAGTGATATGTACATTTTTAATATACTGATAAATTATGTTTTAAATCTATAGGTATTCAATATAAGCTTTAAATGTCTTAAATATATTTACACATGCCTAAATACTTGCATATAAAGGTATATTAGTAATTACTACAATCTGCATGAATAATGTAAAATAAAAGTAAAAATAGAATTTGGGTAAACTAAGGTATTTTTCATCAAATTATTTCCTGTTTTGGGGTACTTATCACATATCTTGTCTTCTATAAAAACTAGTCTTGATTTTGCCTTTCCCAAAATCATACCTAGATTCAAAATAATAAAATTGTTAGGATGAATTTTATGCCTACACTATCTGTGGATTTTCTAAAGTGGCCATTAGACGGCATGAATGAAGATTCGCTGTTAACCACATAAAAGTAAGGGCAATAGGAATGATTGTTTGTCCAAAGGTTCTCCAAACTTCTATTGTGAGAATTTTTGTCTACCAAGCTTATTTTCTTTTAATTAATTAATTAATTTATACTTTGGCTGTGTTGGGTCTTCGTTGCTGCACGCGGCCTTTCTCCAGGTGCGGCGAGCAGGGGCTACTCTTCGTTGTGGTGTGTGGGCTTCTCATTGCAGTGGTTTCTCTTGTTGCGGAGCATGGGCTCTAGTCACACAGGCTTCAGTAGTTGTGGCACATGTGCTCAGTAGTTGTGGGTCACGGGCTCTAGAGTGCAGGCTCAGTAGTTGTGACGCACGGGCTTAGTTGCTCCGCGGCATGTGGGATCTTCCAGGACTAGGACTCGAACTGTCCCCTGCATTGGCAGGCGGATTCTTAACCACTGCGCCACCAGGGAAGTCCCTACCAAACTTAATGTTAAAACAATCCTGACAAATTAAAAAAGGAGTTGATCTTCCTAGGTTAGTTATATATAAGTAAGGTCTATTAAATATCTTTCAATGAATATGTTTTTCAAGTTAAAAGAAACATAGTCCTTGGACACAAAGACCGGTACAATAAAACTGTCTTCCAAAAGTTTCCTCCATTGTTCTAGATTCACAAATCCTCCCCTTGCCCCACCCACTTTCCTTTTATTATAAATCTGAACAGGCACTAGGGAACTGCTTCAGTTAAATGGAAATCACCAGAGGCCCTTTGCTTATTTCAGTCTTTCTTTAGCTCCAGTAGCCAAAACGTATATATATCCATCTTGTCTAAGAACCACAGCAGTGACAATAAAAGTGTGAAAACTTCAGCTGGTTTAGTTCGAGGGTCTCCACTCATCTTAATGGTTTCCCATGCTGTGCTGTATAGATTCTTCCATTGACAGTAAGCTCTCAGCATCTTTCAGCTAGTCACCTAACCTAGGAAGTACTGGTGCTTTTCTGTCACGCATCACTGCCCCTCTCTAAACCCAGCCACCTCCTTCCCTCTCCCACAAAGGGACAGCCCATAATTGCTTGCCTCGGGGGACTTCCGGGAAGATGGCGGAAGAGTAAGACGCGGAGATCACCTTCCTCCCCACAGATACACCAGAAATACATCTACACGTGGAACAACTCGTACAGAACACCTACTGAATGCTGGCAAAAGACCTCAGACCTCCCAAAAGGCAAGAAACCCCCCATGTACCTGGGTAGGGCAAAAGAAAAAAGAATAAACAGAGACAAAAGGATAGGGACAGGTCCTGCACCAGTGGGAGGGAGGTGTGAAGGAGGAAAAGTGTCCACACACTAGGAAGCCCCTTCGCGGGTGGAGACTGCGGGTGGCAGAGCGGGGGAGCTTCGGAGACGCAGAGGAGAGCACAGCAACAGGGGTGTGGAGGGCAAAGCGGAGAGATTCCAGCACAGAGGATCAGGGCGGACTGGCGCTCATCAGCCCGAGAGGCTTGTCTGCTCCCCTGCTGGAGCGGGCGGGGCTTCGGTCGGAGCGCAGGGAGAGGACTGGGGTTGGCGGCTTGAACACAGCCTGCAGGGGTTAGTGCGCCACGGCTGGCCGGGAGGGAGTCCAGGGAAAAGTCTAGACCTGCCGAAGAGGCAAGAGACTTTT